CGTTTTGGAAGTGATTCTAAGGAATTTAGAGGTTTTTTTAAACCAAATTGAATATCACTTTGAAGCTTCCCCTGGTTCATTCCCTACAGATGGATAGATCGATAATTGGCTATCTAATGAACCAATTAACGGGTAAGGCTTTAAGCTGGGCCAATCCCTTATGGGAGAGTGAAAATCCAGTTGCCCGTGATTACAATGTATTCCTATCAGCATTTAAAGCTACTTTTGAACTAAAAGGGAGAGAAAAGAACGCTGCCAGAGCCCTAATGAGAATAAAACAAGGCAACCGCTCTGTAGCTGATTACGCCATAGAGTTCAGGACATTGGCGTCTGAGGTTGACTGGACCAATAGCGGTTTGGTGGCTGCCTTTGCCGAAGGTTTAGCGGAAAATATACAAGACGAGACAGAAGCCAGTTAACCTTAATGACTTTATTGCACACATGATAGACATTGATAACATGCCCAGAGAGAGAGAGAGAAAAACAAACAGCGTACTAGACGTTCTAACTTATCCATAGCCCCTCGTTTCTCTAACCCAGTGGTAATTAGCCATGCTTCACCTCCAGAACCTGAACCCATGCAACTGGGCATTGCTAAACTCACTGAGGCAGAGATACAACACAGATGCCATGAGGGGTTGTGTTTGTATTGTGGCAAAAGGGGACATCAAAGGTTTTCATGTCCGGTTCAGCCGGAAAACTTGCGCACCTAAGGCACGTTCGGGGACCGACCTTAGGTGTGATGTATATGTCCTCTAAATTGACTAAGAACCATTTTCTTTAAAAAATTACTATGTCTTGTAAGAAAACCACTGTACAGTGTGAGGCTATGATTGACTCTGGGGCAGCGGAGAATTTTCTAGATAAGAAATTCTCTGCCAAACATCTCCTGCCCATAGCAGTAGAGGCTATCGATGGGAGACCTCTTACCCAGCATCTCATCACGCACGAAACCCTGTCGATCATTGTCTCAGTGGGTATCTTACATTCTGAAGAAATGGTTTTCCAAATTATATCTTCACCTACATGTCTGATAATACTGGGTTTCCCTTGGCTCCAGAAACACAATCCACGTTTAGATTGGGTTGAGTGAGAGATGCAGAGGTCTTTGTTTAAAAAAGGTGCCACAACGAATTGGTACCATCAATGTACCTATAGCGCCTCCCTTAACCACAGAAATCCCACCGCAGTATTTGGACTTAAAAGAGGTATTCAACAAGGTTCAGTCAGAGGTATTACCACCACATAGACCCTACGACTGTGCCATAAATTTGTTACCAGGAACTATGCCCCCCCAAAAAATCTTTGTTTAGAAGAATACATAAAGGATGCTCCCAGAAACGGAGATCCTCTTCACCTGCTGGGGCTGGGTTCTTCTTCGTTTCTAAGAAAGAAGGAGACCTACGCCCTTGTATAGACTATAGTGGTTTGAATAGAATAACAATAAAAAACGCCTATCCCATTCCCCTTATTTCTGAGTTATTTGATAGGTTAAAAGGGGCCCGAGTCTTCACTAAGCTCGACCTCAAAAGTGCTTACAACCTAGTCAGAATTAAGGAAGGACATGAGTGGATGGCCGCGTTTAATACAAGAATAGGACATTACGAATACCTAGTTATGCCATTTGGACTGTGCAATGCCCCAGCGGTGTTTTAGGATTTCATTAACGATGTCCTTAGAGAATATCTCCACATGCTCGTTTTAGTGTATCTAGACGACATTCTCATCTATTCCCCAGACTTAGAGACACATTACGAACATGTGAGAACAGTACTAAAAACCCTGTTAAAGAACGGCCTCTATTGTAAGCTGGAGAAATGCCAGTTTGAACAGACTGAGATACAGTTTCTGGGGTCTGTTATATCTCCGTCTGGCTTCAAAACGGACCCACGCAAATTGGAAGCAGTCTTACAATGGCCATTACCCAAAGGCCTTAAAGCTACACAACGCTTTATAGATTTTACGAATTATTACCGCAAGTTCATTAAAGGTTATTCCTCTGTAATCTCTCCTATTACCAACCTAACCAAAAAAAGAGCAAAATTGCAATTCATGGCCCAAGGAAGCAAAGGAGGCATTTGAGCAATTAAAATCTTTATTTGCCTCAGCACCTGTCATGACACATCCCGATCCAACCAAACCATTTATTCTAGAAGTAGATGCATCAGAAACAGGAGTAGGAGCCATTCTGTCTCAAAGAGAAAGTCCTGATGCGCCTTTACATCCCTGTGGGTTTTTCTCTCGAAAACTAACCTCTGCAGAGGAAAATTATGACATTGGGAATAAGGAGTTATTGGCCATTGTACTTGCCCTTAAAGAATGGAGGCATCTCTTAGAAGGTTCCAAAGAGCCACTTCTGATTTTTACCGATCATAAGAATGTGGCTTATATTGGGGATGCTAAGAGATTGTCCTCTCGTCAGGCTAGATGGTCATTGTTTCTCTCCCGATTCAATTTTGTAATTACGTACAGGCCCGGGACCAAGAACACCAAGGCAGGTGCACTGTCTAGGCAGTTTGAGACAGATGAGGTTCCTAAACAAGAGGTTTTCCCTATCATACCTCCAGAATGCCTTATTGCCACTACAATTTCCAAAGTGTCTTCTCCACTCTTCTGTGCCATAATAGCTGATCAAACTCAGGCACCATTGGAGAGACCTCCGGATAAACTATACGTTTCACCACCATTAAGGAAAAAGGTACTTGGATTATTCCATGATAATTTGACAGCAGGTCATCCTGGAGTCCATAAAACTCTCTTTGCTATCTCCAGGAGGTTCTGGTGGTCTACACTTAGGAATGACATCAAAGAGTATGTAGGGGCATGTCAAATATGTGCCGTTTCTAAAGCCTCTCACAAATCTCCTCATGGGTTGCTACAACCACTGCCTATACCTAATGCTCCATGGACCCATTTAGCCATGGATTTTATAGTGGATCTGCCCAGTTCAAACGGATTTAACACAATCCTTATTGTCATAGATAGATTCTCGAAAATGGCACATTTTGTACCTCTTAAAAAATTACCATCTGCTCAAGATCTTGTACAAATATTTTTGAAAGAGTTCTTTCGGTTACATGGAGTGCCAAAAAACATAGTATCTGACAGAGGTACCCAATTTATTTCTAGGTTCTGGCATGCCTTTTGTAAGCAATTGGGTATAGAACTTTCATTCTCATCACCCTCAGACTAATGGCACAGCAGAGAGGGCCAATCAGTCTTTAGAATCTCATTTACATTGTTTTATCGATGCCAATCAGTGTAACTGGTACGAACTCTTACCCATGGCTGAGTTTGCCAGAAATAATACGACTCATGAATCCTCTAATCATAGTCGATTTTTTGTAAATCAGGGTTATCACCCCACTGTTTTACCTTCTGAATTTTCAGACACTGATATTCCTGCCTTAAACACCTGTTTGGATTCTATTCATGACACGTGGGATTCCGTTCATACAGCACTACAGAAGGCATCAAAACGTGCTAAAACCCAAGCTGACAAGAGACGGGGTGCCAATCCTGTCTATCAACCTTGTCTCCAGGTGTGGTTATCCACACGTCATGTCAAACTTGGGGTTCTTTCCATGAAATTTGCCCCTCGGGACATTGGTCCTTTTCAGGTCCTCCGTCATATCAACCCTGTAACTTATTCATTGCCACTTCCTGCTCACATGAGAATTGCCAATTAATTTCATGTGTCCTTGCTTAAGCCTCTTACTTGCAATCAATACACTAAAGTGACTGCCCCTCCTTCGCCCTTGGTAGTGGGTGATCAGGAGGAGTACGAAGTTCTTTCTATATTGGACTACAAAATCTCCAGGAGTATTTTGTCTTCTTTGTCTATCTAGTTGACTGGAAAGGTTATGGTCCTGAGGAACGTTGTTGGGTTCCAGCTGACCAGGTTCATGCACCCCATCTTATCCGGTCGTTTCACAACCGCTTCCCTCATAAGCCGGCTCCTTCCCGCCCGGTGAGCGGTATTCGAGTGGGGGGTACTGTTGCGGCTCCCGGCCTGCCGCATGGCGCAACCGTGCCCAACCGGCTTACCTGCGAGCCGGCGAGCCGGGAACCGCTCCTCCTCGTCTTCTGGGCGTTGTGCCCAAATCAAAGATGGCGCTGACCAAGTGGTCGCGCACATCACAAGCTCCGCCCCTCAAATTTATACGGACGTGCGTGTGAAGTCATGACGTCAACGCACGCACACGTTTTGGGGTCAGAGGTCAGCCTCTGACCAATCAGAGCCAAGAGAGGGATATTTAAATCCCTAATTCACTCCAGTTCCTTGCCCTGTCGTGGTTTCCTGTTCCTGGTTCCCGAGAGTGCGTTTATCCTTGTGAATCTGACTTCCTGGTATCCTGATCTTGACTTTTCCCTGGTTATTCCGAATTCTGGGTCCCCTGACTTGGCTTGTTTAAATGGCATCTGAGTATTTCTGGCTTCCTTGACCTCGGATTTCCAATTGACCATTCTCTATCTCTAGCGTATTAGTCCGGCCATTCTAAGGTCCGGTATACGCTTTGTCCTTTTATTTCCTTTCCTTTTTTATGTATATGTTTACATAGTTTCAGCGTGTTGGACCACACTAGCAACCGTGACACAGCTAGGAGACCCGATGCCCTGTCAATGCATCCGGGCCCCTGACTGTCACGGGTCCTCAGTAAATGACCAATGTGCCCGAGTGGTCAGTGTGCCCCTGAGTGTTTGTCTGTATTTACTTGTGTGCTTTGAGTGTTTTTAGTCTGGCAGCTCAATTTCAGGAGTCAGATACATGCCAAATAGTAGAGAACATATAACTTGCTGGGGTAGTGAGTTAGCTATATTTTTCATTTTACATTTTACTTCACCCAATTTGAATTGACCCAACCAACGAGAGTCGTTGTTAATAGATAAATAGCCAACCTGGAGATTTTTTTTTTCTAATTTGACTTTAATCAACAAATATACAGAAAAATAAGATATATCGATTATTTTCCCAACTCAAATGTAAGCATTGGTGCTGGTTAAACTTGCTTTTCTTTATGGCCTAGAAAATATCCAAAATGTTCATATTTTACTTGGTGGCTGTCTACTTTGCTTTTATTTAATGATGACCTTTCAATGGCAATGCCACTGTCAAGTAAGACAGTTTTCACAAATTCCTTCTCATAGTTCAGAGTAGAAAAGCGCTGTTGATAGATGGTGTAATGTGTGCATTTTGAGGCATAAAACAAAATGATATGTCCTCCAACTTTCAAGTAAGATAAGAATTTTTTCAAGTAGTTACGATAACTGTCATGGTCTTTGCAGGCTACTTCAAGGTACCAGGTGCTGAGCAGAGTGTCTGCTTGAGGCAAATTATCGGGTTCCACTGGGTTATCCTTGCAGGGATCCCATAGAAGACAATGTTTAATGGCTCTTCTTGTTTTCTCTTCCAGTTCTTCTGTTGATATGCTGTAAAATTTAGAAAATATTTTATTTATGATATATAGCTTCAATTAAATATTGTAAATGTCCTGTGGCCTTAAGTAGCTACATATTAGACATGGGCATTCGTTTTCTGATGAATACGTTTTCGCCAAAAGTTGTCCGAATGACAAATGCAAATTACAACAGATGAAACAAAAATCAAAGAACAAATTGCTTGTTGAAATTTTGTCCATGCAATTTATTATTTTGTTCATTTTATATTACAAGGAGGGAGCTACCAGCTCACAGCTTCCTCCTTATAATATTTAAAAAAAGAAGCTTTGCTCCTTAATCACCTACAGTTGCAAGAAAAAGTATGTGAACCCTTTGGAATGATATAGATTTCTGCACAAATTGGTCATAAAATGTGATCTGATCATCATCTAAGTCACAATAATAGACAATCACAGTCTGCTTAAACTAATAACACACAAAGAATGAAATTACTAACGGATATACAATGGAAGAATAATTATTTCCTAGTAACCTGTGATGTCACAAGTCTATATACATGTATATCACATACATTGGGTTGCGAATCGGTAGAGTATTTTTTAAGACATCAAAGTGACATGCAGGAAGAACAAATTATTTTTATTATGGATAGTATTACACTTATCCTTAATCATAATTATTTTTGGTTTGACAATAAATTTTTCTTACAATTAAAAGGTCCTGCGATGGGTACCAGATTCCCACCCAGCTATGCCAATCTTTTTATGGCACAGTGGGAAAATCTTTTTCTTTCCAAGGCACGCTGGGCGCAGAATCTGGTTCTCCATCGCAGGTACATAGATGATATTTTTTTCATTTGGCAAGGAGATGAGGAATCTCTTAAATTTTTTATAAACTTTCTCAACAAAAATAATTCCGATATACGTATCACTAGTGAACATAGTACCACTGGCATTAGTTTTCTTGACTTGTTTATATATATTGAAAACCAGGCTATTCATACTAAGACATTTTTCAAAAAAGTTGATGTCAATGGATATATTGATACATCTAGTTGTGACTATAGTCCTTGGCTACACAACATGCCAAATAGCCAGTTTCTGCGTTTATATAAAAATTGTAGCGACACAAAAATATTTGAGGAACAAGCACAATTTCTAAAAACTAGGTTAGTGGAGAAAAATTATGATTCCAGATCCTTAGATCTTTTTATTAGGAAAACTAAAGAGAAAGAACGTAAAGAGATTTTAAATCCAGAGAAGAAAAGAACAAAATGTCTTCCACCATTCCTATTGTTTTAAATTATAATGAAAATGCTAGACAAGTCAAACATATCATTAATAAATACTGGCATATTCTTAGATCAGATCCAACCCTTAAAAATATCATAGGAGAAAAACCGACTATAGTATACAGAGGTGCTAAAAATCTAAAACAACACCTAACCACTAGTTTTATTAAAGATAAAAAGAATAATAAAAATTATTTTAACTTAGAACAGGGTTTTTATCCCTGTAAATCTTGTGTTGCTTGTAAAAAACTCTTTTTAAGAAACAAAAAATCACCTCTTTTACTTCTTACCACAACCAACGTCTTTTTTTCTATTCGCCAGATTTTGACTTGTCAATCTACAAATGTCATATATCTCCTCTGGTGCCCATGTGGTCTGCAATATATTGGAATGATTACCAGAGCTTTAAAAAACAGAATAGCGGAGCACGTGGGCAATATCCAGAGGGGATATTTGAAGCATAGTGTATCAGCACATTTTGCTGAAGAACATAGAAGTGATTCATCTGTATTATGTTTCATGGCTATTTTTAAAAAACTGGAGAGGTGAAAACAATGTTAAAGAGTTGGCCAAGATAGAAAGCAAATAGGTTTTTGAAGTAGATTCTTTATCCCCTAATGGATTAAATTTAGATTTTGAATTTAGCCAATTTTCAAATTAATAATATATAGATATTTTTTATAATCTTTTCTTATATTTTTTTTATATACAAAATATGTTTTCTATTGGTAATCTACTTTTATAAAATATTTTTTATATAAGAATTTTCTTATTGTTTTTATTGACTTCCTAACTATGCCAGCTCTAATTACCTCTATTATATTTGTATTTTTCTTATATTCCTTTTATGTATTTTTCCTATATTCCTTTTATGTATATATTTATGATACATTATATATATTAATTTTAGATATTCAATGAGAAAATAATCTCTTTTTTTTAACATTTATTATCCTGTCTGTTCTGAGCCCAAATTTTTATATATAAAGAACTTTTCATCCGGCGGCATAATATGGCATGGCTGTGTTTGCGTTCCACAATGCGTTCCACCATGCGTTCCTAATGACGAAAACTGGAAGTGACGTCATCCGAAAATACCGGAAGTGACGAAAATGGATGGAGACCATGCACATGTGATCGTGATTGCTGGGTGTATTTAAACAAGCTCCGAAGATCAGGACATCAGCACTTGAAGAAGGCTTCTGAGCCGAAACGCGTCTGCTGCTATTTACTTATTATACAGCTGTATTTTTTATATTAGCTTGTTGTTATTTTACTCGTCTCTCTTGGTTACTTTATTTGGGGTAAGTGGATATCCTTTTTCTGTATTCCTTTGGATTCCACTCCCCTAGTACCTTGAGCTTTGGATATTTTATCCTAAATATATATATTTTTTACTGAAATTTTCTCCATCCACTCTTTGGGATTTCGTTAGCCTGAATTGGCACCCTTGGGTCTGCTATACAGATCCTGGGACGGCTCTGCCGAATGTGAGTGACAGTCTGTTTTGTCCTACTTTATATTATCTTATCACAGATTACACTATGTTGTATTATATTTTATATTTTTAGATTTTACCTGACTACTTTGTCAAGCTCAGGTTGTATGTTTGTATATATTTATCTCTCCCATTATCACTATTTCACTCTTGGTTTCGATTGTTTGTGGTTTTGATATAAATTTTGTACTTATTAAAGAATGAAATGTTGCCATGTTTTTATTGAACACACCATGTAAACATTCACAGTGCAGGTGGAAAAAGTATGTGAACCCTTGGATTTAATAACTGGTTGAACCTCCTTTGGCAGCAATAACTTCAACCAAACGTTTCCTGTAGTTGCAGATCAGGCGTGCACAACGGTCAGGAGTAATTCTTGACCATTCCTCTTTACAGAACTGTTTCAGTTCAGCAATATTCTTGGGATGTCTGGTGTGAATCGCTTTCTTGAGGTCATGCCACAGCATCTCAATCAGGTTGAGGTCAGGACTCTGACTGGGCCACTTCAGAAGGCGTATTTTCTTCTGTTTAAGCCATTATGTTGTTGATTTACTTCTATGCTTTGGGTCATTGTCCTGTTGCAACACCCATCTTCTGTTGAGCTTCAGCTGGTAGACAGATGGCCTTAAGTTCTCCTGCAAAATGTCTTGATAAACTTGGGAATTCATTTTTCCTTCAATGATAGCAATCCGTCCAGGCCCTGACGCAGCAAAGCAGCCCCAAACCATGATGCACCCACCACCATACTTCACAGTTGGGATGAGGTTTTGATGTTGGTGTGCTGTGCCTTTTTTTCGCCACACATAGTGTTGTGTGTTTCTTCCAAACAACTCAACTTTGGTTTCATCTGTCCACAGAATATTTTGCCAGTACTGCTGTGGAACATCCAGGTGCTCTTGTGCAAACTGTAAACGTGCAGCAATGTTTTGTTTGGACAGCAGTGGCTTCCTCTGTGGTATCCTCCCATGAAATCCATTCTTGTTTAGTGTTTTACGTATTGTAGATTCGCTAACAGGGATGTTAGCATTTGCCAGTGACTTTTGTAAGTCTTTAGCTGACACTCTAGGATTCTTCTTCACCTCATTGAGCAGTCTGCGCTGTGCTCTTGCAGTCATCTTTACAGGATGGCCACTCCTAAGGAGAGTAGCAGCAGTGCTGAACTTTCTCCATTTATAGACAATTTGTCTTACCGTGGACTGATGAACAGCAAGGCTTTTGGAGATACTTTTATAACCCTTTCCAGCTTTATGCAAGTCAACAATTCTTAATCGTAGGTCTTCTGAGAGCTCTTTTGTGCGAGGCATCATTCACATCAGGCAATGCTTCTTGTGAAAAGCAAACCCAGAACTGGTGTGTGTTTTTTATAGGGCAGGGCAGCTGTAACCAACACCTCCAATCTCATCTCATTGATTGGACTCCAGTTGGCTGACATCTCACTCCAATTAGCTCTTGGAGATGTCATTAGTCTAGGGGTTCACATACTTTTCCACCTGCACTGTGAATGTTTACATGGTGTGTTCAATAAAAACATGGCAACATTTCATTCTTTGTGTGTTATTAGTTTAAGCAGACTGTGATTGTCTATTGTTGTGACTTAGATGATGATCAGATCACATTTTATGACCAATTTGTGCAGAAATCCATATCATTCCAAAGGGTTCACTTACTTTTTCTTGCAACTGTATGTACACCCTCACCCTAAATTATAGGGGTCAATATGACTCCCAAATTAGTATAAGGGAGATTAACTCCTCCCTCCTGCCCCTACGTGCCATGCCACAAGTTGGAGTATGTCTATTAAACAGTGGGCAGCAATAATCCAATAAAGGGAGACCTGGCAATTTAGAAACAAATATCAAATAAAAACAATATTAACTGGGTCTTGTCTTTCTCTGAAACATGTATTATTAAATAGGCTTCCACAGTTAGACAACCCCCCCCCCCCCATTTAGTTTAATGATCCTTGGGGCACAGGTGATGGCATGGGGAGACACTAAGTCCCCCCCAGTCAATTGTAACTGTTTTATAAAGTGCCCCACCATGGAAACATAGGGGTCAGGTCCCTATTTATTGAATTAGGGGCTTGGAAATTGCTGCCTAGTTGCTTGTCTTTTTTTTTTTTATAAAAATGAACAGACACTGGTTTTAACCTCCCTTATTTACTAAAACGAAGGAGCTACTAAATCTACTAAACAGCTCCCTAATTTGGAACCCTTGAACATAGCAATCTAACAAGGGTACCAATCTAGGGAGTTACTTGCTAAATGGCTGCAAGAACAGACGAGGCATGATCGGAATTTCATTTGGCCGAATGAAATTCCAAAACTAAAATAATGTCTGAATTTTATCTTGAAACGAATGAACAAACTGATGAAATTCGGTTCAGACAAATGTATTATGAGGAAACTAAAATTTCAGTGTCACCCAAGTCTACTACATATGTTACGATTTTTTTATTTTGTTTATGCTACTCATACTTTTCAAATCTCTTTACTAGACTTCTACATTCATGTTTGGCTGAATAGCAATTTGTCTGAATTTAGGGCGATCGGTGGGTTGTCTTAACTCCATAATTTCAAATCACTATATGGACGTACAGCTGAACAAATTATTCATGCAATGGATGTGCATGTTTATTTTATTTGTGATTCGTGGTTCCAACGAAAGAGATGATTAAACAGAAAAAAGATGATTGAGTACTAGGGGACAACCACTACAATTTGATTTTATTCACAGATTAAGAGAGGAGTGACCAATAAAAATGGAGGGACAGTAAATATATATGTGTGTTTTTATTATTAATATAGATTAAAAAAAATCTGCTATGTACAAGTGTGAACTGTGTGTACTTCCAAATAAATGTTTTAACAGCTACTGACAGTCTGCTTTAAAAGAATACAAACCTGCATTCCTGACCCTATAGTGTAAAAATCACTACTTAGGTGGCCCACACCTACCCCCCTTAAATAGAATAAAAACTCACCTTTATTCCAGTGGAGACGCTGAACATTACGTGGAAATGCTGGACATTAGTGCTGCACACCCAGGAAGCACCTCTAGTGGCCGTCTGAGTGACGGCCACTGGAGATGTTCCTAGGCAGCAATGCAAACACAGCCTATTCTCTGAAAAGGCAGTTTATAGATGAAAATGTCTGCTGGTACATACTATACTCACCAGAATAACTACATTAGGGTGTAGTTGTTCTGGTGACTATGGTGTCCCATTAGTTGTTTCATGTTACACAGGATGGAAAGGGAGGTCTCATTAAACAAAAATCTTGACTCACCTTCCACCTATCAGCTTAGATAAAAGTCTTGTTGCATGTGACCAGTCTGTTGCATCTGGGTGCCTATTCAACCATCTCTGTATTTCTTCTTGACTGGCAACAGAAGACTCCAAAACTGTGATCTCTTTATAGAAATTGCCAGCAACCAGCAGTTGACCTAAATCTGGACCCCCACTGAGATCTATCAGTGTTTCTCCTTTCACAGTTCCTGAAGAACAATAAATAGGACAGAAGACAAAACACAAAGACACACAAAACACAACAACTAACTAATAATAACTTTAGGCCTTAAGAGATAGAAATGAATGTTTCAAAAACATTCAGAATGAGAAACAGTGCATGCTTGGAAAAGTGCTAAACATATGACAGGTAATGAATCTAAAACTCAGAGATGCAAACATTTTAACCAATAGAATAAAAAACAAACAAGCAATGTAGGCGCTAAAATTATGAATATATAAGTGCAAGTGTTAAAAATAAAGGTAGAGAAAGGAAGTGCCTGATACATTTTTAAGTGTGAATAGAAAAGCTTTTTACTCATGTGGAAAATGTGTAGGATGTAAATGTAGTAAAAACAACACTATAAAAGGGATTAGTAAATTTAAGACAAAATATACAACAGAAGAATATACCATTAAGGATTTTATTACTTGTTTTACTAAAAACATTATATACCTTTTAATATGTCCATGCGGACTTCAGTATGTGGGCAGAACTATTCGCCCTCTACATAAGAGAATTTATGAACATGTTAATAATATCCAAAAAGGTATAGACCATCATAGTGTGTCCGCTCATTTTAAAAAATATCATAATAAAGACCCCAGTGGCCTCACATTTTTAGGAATTCAAATTGTTAAAAAACCATGGCAAGGAGGCAATTTTATTCAATATATAGGAAAAGAAGAGATGAAGTGGGTTCATACACTGGATACCCTTGAACCTAAAGGTCTTAATATTGAATTTGATGTGTATAATTTTATTTTATGAATTTTATATTTTAGATGAATTTTCTATCTGATAATAATTACTTTCTCTTCTCTCCTTCTGCTAGTAGGTGCATTTATATAACTGTATTTATGTATTTTAATGGAGAATTTTCTTTTTTTGAGATTTTAATATGGTTAAGTATATTTAATATATGTAATATGTTTATGACATTCCATTTTTTGTTGAAATATTGATTGGGACATTCATGTATTTTGGCTATTATATGTACTATTATTCTCTTGTTATATTTCATCTATTTTATACATTTTTTTGGGACTTCTCTATATAGACATTTAGGGGATTTACCCCGTTTGTATAAGACTTTGGCCATTCATTTGCATATTTTACGCCCATAATATGGGCTTTAAAAGCCAGGACCAGCTGTATCAGGACGTGATCTGAGGAAGCCTTTTTCGGGCGAAACGCGTCATCACGTTCACATACGACGTCATCACGTTATCACGTGACCGCAAGGAGCTCCAAACCCCGAAGTGCCTTGTATAGTGCCGCAAGCTGCAGAGACCGTGAATTTTGGTGTGTTCATTTTTTCTAAGTATTGAATGGGACACTGGCCTTCTATGTGGCAAAGGGAGTTTTTTTATTGGAAGAAATAAAGATCGTTTTATTCAGCTGGCGTCCTGCTTTTTACTACCATCAAATCCCTATGCTGTGGATTACATCCTGAAAAGTTAGAGCAGACTTTTACTGCTCTTTCCTTGTGAGTTTTATTCCATTTCTCTTGGCTGTTTTATATAATTTTAAACAGTATTATGCTATATGTCTTTTCTTTTTTATGTACCATATCTCCTACTTTGGAATAACCAAATGCAATTTATATTGAGACATATTTTCCTGCTGTAAGTTACTATTTGTATTTTTATCACTATTCACTTGCAATTTTTGCACATTTGTTATACTGAGTGTGATTTTATCGAATAGACACTTCTTATTGCACGATTTTTTGCACTTGTTGCACTTTAAATTTTAAAGGTACAGCGCACCTTTTTTGTTTTATATTTTAACCAATAGGCCTACAGAAGTATTTATAATAGTTATTTTAATAAAATAATTATTATTAAAGTGGCAAATCTCTTCATATGCTTAATAAATGGTCCTGTTCTCAGTATTTTGTAACCTTTTTTCTCTTTTATCCCTTATGCAATCATTCCAGTGGCTCGGATGCGTCTCCACCAGGGCCCAGACACTGAGAGGGCCCATAGGGTGGCCCAAGCACTTAGGGCCTCCTGATTGGTTATGTGTCTCCAGGGACCCTTATGTGCGCTACAGTCCTTAAACAATGCAACTCTAATATTGGCAGCCAGTGCTGGAAGGACGTGAGAGCTGGTCACTTTCTCCCATCTTAATACAGATTAAGGAACAGCACACACATAAAAATAGATTTTTACATTTTATAAGGCTTTTTAAAAATCATCTCTCTTGACAAACAAATATGGGGATTAAGTTCCACCATATGGCCATATTGTGTTAAGCCCACCACTACCTTCTGCAAAATGCATGTTTTGGGTACACCCTCAATTCCTTTTTGTCTTTACTTCCTCCCAGCTAACATACATGGAGCCGCACAGGAGGGAGAGGAGGAGCGAAAACTCACCCCCAATAGCCTTAGCCAGCAGAAGTCACCATCCTGTACCCATAAGGTAGAACACAGTAGGGTGGCTAAATGACGTTTCTGTGTATCTGAATGTGTGTCAGCATTTGTATCTATATGTCTGTGTATCTGCATGTATATCACTGGTTGCATCTGTGTATCTGCATGTGTGTCAGTGTTTGTATCTGCATGTGTTAGTTTGTGCATTTGTATGTCTGTGTATCTGAATGGGTATAAGTGTGTGTATATGCATGTGTGTCAGTATGTGCATCTTTGTATCTGCATGTGAGTCAGTGTTTGTATCTGTGTCTGTGTATCTGTATCTATGTCAGTATTTACATTTGTGTATTAATATATACAAAAAACTGTGTGATAAAGGCGCCTTAAATGTTAATAGTGTTAAATGGAGTTTCACTGCAACACTCTAGTGGGCATCCCTCTCACCCAGCACAACCATGCAAACAAAGAGAAAGTGGAAAAAGTGGAAAGAAGTCAAAAAGCAATTAACCTTGAGAGTGGAGCAATACGTTTATAGATTGGAAACCTACCCTAAATAAGGGTTGTCTGGTCTTATCACCCTTCTAGAGGGCTTTCTCAGTCGGTATGATCTGCTCCTACTAGTTTCGTTTTTTAAATGTGCCGGTCTGGCTTATCATTGGTGGTTTTTCACAGTTGTTAGCCAATCCGGCTTTGTACTCAGGGGGTGTGTATCCATCTCAGGTTTTCTTTATTCTCTCGTTACGATATGTATTGAGACCAACTGGACCAAATTATCATTGTTACTTTATGATAAGACCAGACAACCCTTATTTAGGGTAGGTGTCCAATCTATAACCTTATGTTATGCAATTCACATTATAATTTATACATAATTTGCATTATAATATTGTATCAAATGCATCTGTGCTTCTGTGTGGAGGCTGCATATTGGGGAAGATAGGGACTATAGTGGGTGAGATAGAGTCTATGGTGGAGAGAATATTACTCTATCTCTATCTCTATTACTCTATAGGGGCTGTAGTAGAGGGATAAGGCCTATGGTGGAGGATTGGGGCTGAAGCGGAAGTTAGGGACTATTGTGTGGTGAATAGTGTATATTATGGGGTGATAGGGGTTGTAATGGGTTATAGGTGCAAAAGGGAAGGAAAAGGGGCTATATTAAGAGGACTCTTGTGTGGTGGATAGTGGTTAAAGTGGGGTCACAGGGACTGTAGTGGGATGATGAGCTATATTGGAGTGACAGGTGCTATAGTGCAATGAAAGGGACTATAATGGGGTGACATGCGCTATAGTGGGGTTACAAACTATACTGGGGTGAGGTGATAAGAGCCAGGGTGTAGTGACATGGGTTATGCTGGGGTGACAGAACCTGCAGGTGGGTGACATGGGACTATACTGAGTGTACAAGAGGTGTAGTGTGATGAAAGGGGCAGTAGTGGGTTGACAGTTGCTGTAGTGGGGTGACAGGGACTATATAAAAAAATGTCCCCCTCCCTAATGCTTACCTTGGGCCAGGAGGCCAAAATCTCTGGCCTCAGTGGAAAATCCAGCACTGCACTTATTTGTACAGCAGGGTTATAGTATCACAAACTTTGGTTTTACAGTCTTGCTAATGATTAAAGGACTCGTTTTCCTGGCAGTATAGTGTCCTGAGGGTGCTCTCCGCCTCCGATCCTCCTCCTCTCCTCCCATTCGGCTGAATGTGCACGCGCGGCAGGAGCTGCGCGCGCATTCAGCCGGTCTCATAGGAAAGCATTTACAATGCTTTCCTATGGACGCTTGCGTGTTCTCACTGTGATTTTCACAGTGAGAATCACGCAAGCGCCTCTAGCAGCTCTCAGTGAGACAGCCACTAGAGGATTTGAGGGCTGGATTAACCCATTTATAAACGTAGCAGTTTCACTGAAACTGCTATGTTTTAAAAAAAAAATGGGTTAACCCTAGCTGGACCTGGCACCCAGACCACTTCATTAAGCTGAAGTGGTCTGGGTGCCTAGAGTGGTCCTTTAAGGTGTCTTACTGGGACCAGTGTAGGATACTTTGGGCAAACCTGAGACTGTGATTATTATAAAGGTTACATTTGTAACAAATCAGAACAAATCATTTAAACTGACTACAGCAAACATTGAATAGTGTACATCTCTGATTTTGGATACTGGGCCCAACAGCACATCAGGAGAGCCATACATTTTGCTATGACATTTGATATTAATATCTCACGTGTATTTTTTAGCATTGCACCCACCTGTGGAGCACAGTTCATAAACAACTTTCATTGGATATTCCAATAGTTCCTCTTTCGTATGTGTTTTATCTTCACTAACGTACATTTTTACCAGCATTTGAGGGTCAAACTCCTCATCGTGATAATGTTTGAGAGCTTCTGCTTCCATCATGACAATCTACAAGAGGAAAGGTTATGATAGTTAGCTGTGTTTGATATTTCTAATATATCAGTTTAATATATTTTAAATCCTATATTACTGCGAGATCTGGATTCATAATGTATTCAACTGGAGGTTTATAAAGACACACACACTGTGTACAGCAAGAAAGATTGGCCATTATTTGTCCTTCTGAGAAGGACTGCTTTAAAACACTGACATATACAGAGTCATTGGCTACAGTGAGAATTGTCGGGAATGCAAAGTAAATTCGATGTGGAAAAATAAATAAAAATGTAATAGGCATTGAGATAAAATATGTACACAGATACAAAGGTAAATGTAAACAAGTAATTAAATTACATACTATATCATAAACAAACCTACCTACAAACATGCTTCAGATTAAGGAATAGCCCACACAAAAAAATACAGTTTTACATTATACAAGGCTACTTCAAATCACCTACCTTAGAAAACAAATATGGTAATTCAGTTACACCACATACCATGTTAAGCCCACCACAATAACCCAGTACCCAGTGAGTGATACACTGATTTTAACATGGAGCTAGCTAGTTTACATTGCTAACTGCAATACTTGCTGCTTACAATGCTTGTTTTGTCTCCAGTACAAGTTATGTTTTCCTGTGGATACCTCCAAAGGGGCACCTATAGTGGAGGGATGGGGTGCTCAACCCAAATGAATGAGTCTCAGTGAGTAAAAGGAAATATATCAGTGAGTGGAGCAGTATGATAAAATAAACGTTTAGGTGATAAACCCCAAGCAGACAAAGATGGATTGTGAAGAAAATGTAAAATTGAAATTGTTGGCCAGTAGATGTCCCCAGATCGTCTCACAGCATATATGGAAAAAAATACATAAACATACATAATAGTCCAGACTGCTATAAATAAGCACTAGTGTTGACAAAATATATAAATATAACCAGATTCCCACTGAATTACCTAAGAAGGTTAAGGAAATCAGATTATATATTAATCATATACAAATAGTACCAAGTTAATAATACTGAATATTCATAGGTAAGATCTTAATGAATAAAATTCAATATTGTTAAACTAATATTAGCTGAATGTGTGTAAAAGACATTGTGACGGACCGATTTGCAACCTGACCGGGTGCCTTCACCAATCACTGCTTCCTAGTAATCCTTGAGTACCATAAGCATGGCACCGGACACCATAACCACCGTAGTCCCTACAGCCAGCGTTACAGCTTATTTGGGGTCTCGCTGTCCTCCACCCACCCTGGACCCAAGACCAGGATCCAGCTTCTAGTGGGTAGACCTCTCCTAATCCATAGAGTAAAGCAGAATGCTTGATCAAGTGATCATAATCCAAGGGAGTATAATGAGTAGAACAATCCCCAGAGTGAAAATAGCTGTTCCCTCCACATATGAGACAAGGCTCTATGTTGAGGGTGAAGGGGAACTCCACTAATGGTAGCCACAACTGGCCTTATATGCAGGTCCTCATGCAAGGGTTTCCATTACATATTCCAGGGGAATTCCCCACTGGACCTGAGAGTAGACTACAGCAAAAACATACACACGATTACATTGGCTCTCAGGTCTAGGACACTCCCACACAAAACAAGATAATCCCTCTCCTGTGCCTGGGAGATAATTGAGTCAGGAACTGTACTAAACTCAATTATCTCCAGCCACAGAAAACTCACATTTTAACAACCTCCCCCAAAACCCACAGAAGTCACATCCCCTGATAGCCCTGATCTGGGGGACCAACATATCCAAAAATCACCCAGATCGGTTCAGGGGGTTGGGATTTCCATGGAAGTCATAGTTTTGACCGACCGTGCACATGGTCCTGTGCCCAAAACAGTTCCAGGGAATTAGGGCTAATTAAAAGTACATAAATCACATAAAGGGCCCATAGTCTTTTGGCAAGAGGCTGGCCAGCAGGCCCCTCCAAGAGCTCATGGCGAGGTTATTTTCACCACAGTCATGCATATATTACATGTGTCACATATTACTGATAGACATGTAGCCCACACAATCAGACAGTGTAACTGAGAAAACCAGACACCTAAAAAAAATGTTAGCAAAGTAATTCATTTAATTTTTTTTAATTTAATGGGATCTACGAGAAACCATTGTAAGAGAAAGTTGAAACAAAGTCCAAATGTGTCAAATATATACTTTTATGGCACAAAAAGAAACTCTTTTAAAGGTTGACAGCTACTTTAAGGAAAGGTACCCACAAAGATAAGATATTTGACGTCATTTGCATCACGAAATTCAATTAGCCCCTTATACAAAGTGGTAGTCGTAATTCGTAATAAGAATTTCTTGTGATGCTATAACACCATCTATTGATCAAAGTCTATAAGACAATCAGTAGAAGAAGGTACACCCACCTAATTCCATTGGTCACTTTAAATTAGTGATGTAAAGAAACTTAAGACTTGATTTTCTTTAAAAATTGAGGAGAGCTGGGAAGAAAAAAAAAAGATTTTGAGAAAGAGACCGAAATAAAGAAACATACCCTGGAAACATTTAGCACTCTGTCTGGGACTTTGAAATCTTACAGAACTATCTTTTTTTTTTCCTACACTTCTCTATCCAAACACTTCTTACTGATACTCACTATTCATGAAGTATATCTCCAAGCCTAAATAATTTCTACCAAGAAAGCTGGTAAGCATGCTGGTTTAATTTAATTTAATGTAATCATTTTTAACTAAAAAAAGAAAAATACCTGGAAAATGCTAATAAGATTTCAAACCTTTGAAATCATATTTAGGTAAGAAATATATGGTTCCATAGTTCATATCAACAGGTGGAATAAATTAATAATATATTTACTGGCAACTTGCTAAGTTTAGAATATCAAGCTATTATCCAGAGATATTAACCTAATCTTTAATCAGAAAAGTTAATCATCCGCTATGTAAAAACTTGGTTAAATTATCATTATGGCTACTGGATTGAAGGAATGGTTAAATTGACTATTTGTGTAATAAATATTGTATTTTTTTTAATTGCAATATTAAAGTGTTAAGCTTGTGAGAATTGTAGCCAGCAGTGAGTGAGTTAACTCAGTGTGATTCGGACTGATTGTAACGGACCGTTTTGCCCACAAGAGGTTAAAACTCGTTTAGGCGATATTCCCCTTTTTCAGATGCACAGACAGCTACTGCAATCACCACTCTCCCGAACTGCAAACACACTAATACTGGAAACAGCCGAATAGGAAAAACCATGCGAATAGGTTTACACTCCTAGCAGTCAAACTGGAACAGCATACAATAAATCCTCCCCCAATAATGAGACGACACTTCACTTTGAGGGTTAAGCAGGAACTGCACTGTAATGGCCACACACTGGCTTTTATGCAAGTCCCCATGCAAGGGGACATCCCACAGGGTGGGACACAGTACAACCAATCGTTTACAGGAGAACCGTAAAACACACCCACAATTACATCACAATCCCTCCTCTCTGTCCTGGAGATAATTGTGAAGTAATCCAATTATCTCCCAGGACAGAGGCAAGACTCCATTAACCACATGGCAGTAACAATACAATAAAATACATAAAATTACATACAGTTACATTTATTCCATAAAACATAGACATTCTACCTATCCCCAGATAGCTTGGATCTGAGTGCACATTACTACCGAATGGCGCTCAGATCACATACATACAGTTCAATCGCCATGGAGCCAAAGTCTTTCATACAGTCTTTCAGTATACGGCTGGGCTCCATGGCATAGCTATCTGGGGTAGCATGGCTTTAACATTCCGCAGAAAGGCACGAATAAACCTTTCTGCCGGTAAAATAAAAGTTTAAAATGCAGGACCATAGGGAGCAGGCGAGCAACCAGGCTTCTCCAGTGTACAGTGGCGAGGTTGGTTTCACCACACTGATCACAGCTAAGATTTTTACAACTTTAAGCTGCAAAGCTCTGTGTTGCATTCTGTGTTAAGGAATTTCTAGCTGAACTATGAAAGTTTTCTGTGACATTGTTTAAAAATGCATCTATGTGGAAATAACGATTAAATTCTAAGGGAATTATTTGTAACTTTGCATGTAACTCCTTTAGAAATGAATCAACTCATGTTGCTTGATTTGTTGCTATTAAGTTTTCTTTAATTGCGTCATAATTGTTGCCATATTTTATACTTATACATACACCAGGTGGAACTGTAGAGATCGGGAAATATTTACATCTATAACAAAAACACAGAAAAAAAAACATTGCACAATATTGTCTGTATATCAGTTGTACTCTTGTGTCACTCACAAGAGTAGAGCCAGAATCATCTGGCTCGCATGTGTAGCACAGTGGGACCATTGCCAGGATGCTACCATCCTTCTTCTCTTTAATTCCTTGTGGGTTGATGTAAATAGCGGAGAATCGTCAGGACTCCCTCCCAGAGAATCTTGATACCTGGTTCCTTTTGACATAATAGATGCAAAGCAGTCTGAGCTCTGCCCTAGAGATTCTTTATTAAATTTAAATCCAGTATTAAAGGACCACTCTAGGCACCCAGACCACTTCAGCTTAATGAAGTGGTCTGGGTGCCAGGTCCAGCTAGGATTAACCCATTTTTTTTATCTATTATGCGTGTTCATTTAGCCGAATGGGAGGAGAGGAGGAGGAGAGCTTCCCGCCCGGTGCTGGAAAAAAGGTAAGTTTAACCCCTTTCCTCACCCCAGAGCTGGGCGGGAGGGGGTCCCTTAGGGTGGGGGCACCCTCAGGGCACTATAGTGCCAGGAACACGAGTATGTTTTCCTGGCACTATAGTGGTCCTTTAAAATCAATAAAAATGTAATAATAATAGATTAACAATAAAAGTCTAATAAAATGTCTGATGAATTATTTAGACTTTTATAATTAATTATTATTACATTTTTATCGATTTTAATAAATTAAAATTAAAGACTAAGAGTTAAAGACTAACACAAGTTGGAGATGTTCTATAGTACGCTGACCATAAATAAATCTATGGCTAAATGTA